CCAGGTTACTGTACCAGGTTACTGTACCAGGTTAATGTACCTGGTTACTGTACTAGGTGACTGTACCAGGTTACTGTACCAGGTTACTGTACTAGGTGAATGTACCAGGTGACTGTACCAGGTGACTGTAACAGGTTACTGTACCAGGTGACTGTACCAGGTGACTGCACTAGGTTACTGTACCAGGTTACTGTACCAGGTGACTGTACCGGGTTACTGTACTAGGTGACTGTACCAGCTTACTGTACCAGGTCACTCTACCAGGTTACTGTACTAGGTGACTGTACCAAGTTACTGTACCAGATTACTGTACCAGGTTACTGTACCTGGTTACTGTACTAGGTGACTGTACCAGGTTACTGTACCAGGTTACTGTACTAGGTGGCTGTACCAGGTTACTGTACCAGGTTACTGTACCTGGTTACTGTAGCAGGTTACTGTACTAGGTGACTATACCAGGTTACTGTACCAGGTTCCTGTACCAGGTTACTGTACTAGGTGACTGTACCAGGTTACTGTACCAGGTTACTGTACCAGGTTACTGTACCAGGTTACTGTACCAGGTTACTGTACCTTGGTTACTGTACTAGGTGACTCTACCAGGTTACTTTACCAGATTACTGTACTAGGTGACTGTACCAGGTGACTGTACCAGGTGACTGTACCAGGTGACTGTACCAGGTGACTGTACCAGGTGACTGTACCAGGTGATTGCACCAGGTGACTGCACCAGGTTACTGTACCATGACCAGGTGACTCTACCAGGTTACTGTACCATAACCAGGTAACTGTACCATAACCAGGTGACTTTAACAGGTGACTGTTCCAGGTTGCTGTACCAGGTTACTGTACCATAACCAGGTTACTGTACCATAACCAGGTGACTGTAACAGGTGACTGTTCCCGGTTTCTGTACCAGGTTACTGTACCAGGTTACTGCACCAGGTGACTGTACCAGGTTACTGTACTAGGTTACTGTACCAGGTGACTGTACCTGTTTACTGTACTAGGTGACTGTACCAGGTTACTGTACCATGTTACTGTACCATGTTACTGTACCTGGTTACTGCACTAGGTTACTGTACCGTGTTACTGTACCATGTTACTGTACCTGGTTACTGTACTAGGTGACTGTACCAGGTTACTGTACCAGGTTACTGTACCAGGTTACTGTACCAGGTGACTGTACCTGGTTATTGTACTAGGTGACTGTACCAGGTTACTGTACCAGGTTACTGTACCAGGCGACTGTACCAGGTTACTGTACCAGGTTACTGTACCATGTTACTGTACCATGTTACTGTACCAGGTTACTATACTAGTTGACTGTACCAGGTTACTGTACCAGGTTACTGTACCAGGTTACTGTACCATGTTACTGTACCATGTTACTCTACCATGTTACTGTACCAAGTTATTGTACTAGTTGACTGTACCAGGTTACTGTACTAGTTGACTGTACCAGGTTACTGTACCAGGTTACTGTACCAGGTTACAGTACTAGGTGACTGTACCAGGTGACTGTACTAGGTGACTGTACCAGGTTACTGTACTTGGTGACTGTACCAGGTTACTGTACCAGGTAACTGTACCAGGTGACTTTACCAGGTTACTGTACCAGATGACTGTACCAGGTGACTGTACCAGGTGACTGTACCATGATACTGTACCAGGTTACTGTACCATGACCAGGTGACTATACCAGGTGACTGTACCAGGTGACTGTACCAGGTTACTGAACCAGGTTACTGTACCTGGTTAGTGTATCAAATGACTGTACCAAGTGACTGTACCAGGTGACTGTACCAGGTTACTGTACCAGGTTACTGTACCAGATGACTGCACTAGGTTACTGTACCAGGTTACTGTACCAAGTGACTGTACCAGGTGACTGTACTAGGTGACTGTACCAGGTGACTGTACCAGGTGACTGTACCAGGTTACTGTACCAGGTTACTGTACCAGGTGACTGCACCAGGTGACTGTACCAGGGGCACGAGCTGTTTTTCCAACAGCTCGTGCTGTTGGAGAAACCTCGAAGTTCTGCTCACACAAAATCAGTTAGCACACTCGAACAGAAACTTAATTTTGAACTTGAACTAACAAATCAAAGTGATCTACACAGTGACTCACAGGGGCACTTGGTCTAGGAGGACGTTGGCGGCAACTAAAATAAGCGAGAGGCTGGAAGTATTCTTCAGTTTAGGAATTGCGCCCTGTAAATCCTCCCCGGCCAGGATACGAACCCATGACATAGCGCTCGCGGAACGCCAGGCGAGTGTCTTACCACTACACCACGGAGACTGTTTTAACGTTACAGCGGCTGGAGTGAATAGCCAGTTGGATCAGGCAAGGCCGAAGCAGAGCACATCCATCCATCTGTACCATCTGAAAGGCTGTACCATCCAGGCTGTACTGGATGGTACCGCTATCCAGCCATATGTAGTGGCGCCACCTGTGCGATGGTACATGTGGCACCATTAGGTGCTAAGAGGTAGTTTGCACCTCGCCTGGTTCTTATCGCATCGTGTAAATCAGTGAAGTCCTACGATAAGAGAAAATTGTCTCGCTCCACATGCATGTATTATAGCAGTTAACGAGACGTGCACAACGGTACATTATGGTACTTCTAGTGACTTCGTGATGTTTAATTAGCCAATTTGGTCGACGTAGTGTAAATTGTACTCCAGCTTCCCTCTCTTTGCAACAGGGATGTTCGATCCCCCCCCCCCCACCCCACCACCACCACCACCACTTCAGGTTAATGCTTCCGTCAAAATTAATCTTATTTTACCCAAAGCAGTGACGGATAACTGGGGATCATAGCGCCACTGACCGGGATCTTACTGGTCTCCTAGACAGGTCAGGCGTGGCCTCAACACCTGGCTCAACTTGGCCTCAACACCTGGCTCAACTTGACCAGGTGTTGAGCCACTTGGCCTCAGCACCTGGCTCCATTATCATAGGGAAGTGTGACAAAACAGGTTTTGTCAACAGTTTTGTCAGATTGAAATTGAAATTGAAATAAGTTTATTGAGGTAAAATACACACAGAGGGATGAGGTAGCTCAAGCTATTCTCACCCCATTCAGTACATCGTGTTAATACATGCATAGACACACATCACAAATAAACATTTTGTCAGATAGACTGATCTAAAACCAGCTAGTAGGATATTCAGAACAGATCAAAACAACAGCAATGTAAAACCTGCTTGACAAACTTGCTAAAGTTCAAGATAACTCAACATGAGAGAGAAGAATTGACAGACTGCATATTCCTCGATTGTCAGAGAGTACTCAATATTGTCCTGCACAAGAGACTCTCACTCAAACTAGAGAAGGCGGGCTGGAAAATCGAGAAAAGTTCTAACGTGGGTCAGAGAATATCTCTCAGGAAGGCAGCAAAGAGTTAGAGTGAGAGCAGACATCAGAGTGGAGAGAGTTTGCGAGTGGACTACCACAAGGGTCGGTTTTAGGGCTCATCCTGTTTCTATGTCAGTGACCTGACAGAGAAAATTGGCTCTTCATGTCTATGTTTGAAGATGATGCAAAACAAACAAGAAAAAACAGGACAGATATATATTGTGATACATTGCTCCGGAAGTGGTGTGAAATATGGCTCTTAGAATTTAGCTCAGCCAAATGCAAAGTTATCAGGATTAGAGTTGGAAATGCGAAGACCAATGCAGCAGTAAAGGATGAAGTGAAAGCAGATTTTTCAATCAGGAAAGAAAAAGGACTTGGGAGTAATCATATCGCAAAATCTGATGCCAGAAGCCCTCATTAGGAGAATAACAGCAGCTGCGTATTGGATACTGGCCAACATCCATGTATCCTTAAAAAAATGGACAAATGGGCATTCTGAACCTTATACATATCAAAGGAGAGATCCATCCTTGGACATGCATCATCAACATGGAACCTGCACCTGAAACAGGGCAAGGAAAACTAGAAAAAGTCCAAAGATTTGCAACGAGACTCGTTCCTTAGCTGAAGGGATTGAGCTATGAGGAAAGACTGAGAGAACTGGACCTTAATACACAAGTAGAAAGGAGAGATAGTTATAACAACAACCACAACCTGATTACATAAAAACTACATACAAGAATTTTAGAAAAATTTACTAAATAGACAAAGGCCATTAATTAGAGCTAGGAGCAGCAGATCGAGAGGATCACAGAAGGAAACTAATCACCAATGAGACATAGAGACGTAAGAAATAAATTTTCAGTATTAGAGTTACCAATAAGTGGTACAGGTGAGACCGAGAAGTCGTCGAAGTTAATTGCATTGTAAATCGTAAACGTAAATACGATAAAAGCGTGAGAATTGAGTCATTGCATTAAATTCAAGCACGTTGGGGAGGCGTGGCAAGAAGCCTAACTCGATGCTAAGAGTACATCTAGGTGAATACCTCTAGGTGAGTACATCTAGGTGAGTACCTCTAGGTGAGTACATCTAGGTGAGTACATCCGGGTGAATACATGCAGGTGAGTACATGCCGGTGAGTACATTCAGCTGAGAACATCTAGCTGAGTACACAGAGCATCATTCTGAGTCGGCATCATTGGGTGTCCAGAAGACCATATCTTGATCATAATAACAACACGCATGATAACACCTGCCACAGTGTGAAGCACTCATGTGAGAGGTGTTAAGAAGAGCACTACACGTCTGGGAGTCACTGTGTTCAGTGTAGTGGGTGTAGGGAGGTGTGTTAGTGGGGGGGCCGAGGCGTGTGAGAGACGGGTAGGTGCAGTGTGCAAAAAGGGAGGAGTGAGGTAAGCGAGAGTTAGAAAGGTGGGGTTGGGGGTTGAGGGATGATATAGAAGACGATTCTGCGTCATAATGGCACGACTGAAGCTTATGGGACCCCTCATCAATTCATTTCCCAACTCAATCTTCTATGCATATACCATGTATTCCTCTCTCCTCCTCAGTTCTTCTCACAGCATGGCTTCACTTCCTGTTCACCAGATCCTCTCTCCCTCTCTTTCAGGTGACGTGGATGAGGGGACGTGACCTCCACATCCTGACTGTGGGCCTCGTCACCTACTCGGCCGACGAGAGGTTCCAGGTGAGTCCTGCATGCGTTGAGTCTTACGATGGTGTGTTTGATCCTCTATCTTACAGCCTCTTGAGTGTGTCGACTCGTGTGTCTCAGTTTGTTCCTTATAAATGCGATGGAACTACATATATTGAAGTGATATGAGTGTCCGTATTGTCATTTTGATAGCTTATTGTGTCTAACTCCCTACGAGTCTGTATCAAAACTTTCTAGATATTTTATGTTTGTCAATATATATGTTTGTGACAGAGAGACAGATATATAAAAACAAATGTAAACCAATGAATGGGTGATATATATATATATTATTTATATATATATATATATATATATATATATATATATATATATATATATATATATATATATATATATATATATATATATATATATATAAACGCGCAAGCCATAGATCACTAAGAACTCTATTTGACCTGGCCTATGATGGCACTGGCTCTATGATGAGACAGTGATGATGTCCAGAATGTGTAGTGTGTAGTATTGTGTGTTATCATGACACATTACACTGCACTAGGGCGTAGTGTAGTGTTATCATGCCACATAACACTACACTAATGTGAAGTGTGGTGTTATCATAACACATAACACTACATTAGGGCGTAGTGTGGTGTTATCATGCCACATAACACTACACTAGGGTGTAGTGTGGTGTTATCATGACACATAACACTTCACTAATGTGTAGTGTGGTGTTATCATAAAACATAACACTAGACTAGGGTGTAGTGTGGTGTTATCATAACACATAACACTAGACTAATGTGTAGTGTGGTGTTATCATAACACATAACACTAGACTAGGGTGTAGTGTGGTGTTATCATGACACATAACACTACACTAGGGTGTAGTGTGGTGTTATCATAACACATAACACTAGACTAATGTGTAGTGTGGTGTTATCATAACACATAACACTAGACTAGGGTGTAGTGTGGTGTTATCATAACACATAACACTAGACTAGGGTGTAGTGTGGTGTTATCATGACACATAACACTGCACTAGGGCGTAGTGTGGTGTTATCATGACACATAACACTGCACTAGGGCGTAGTGTGGTGTTATAATGACACATAACATTAAACTATGGTGTAGTGTGGTGTTATCATGACACATAACACTAGACTAATGTGTAGTGTGGTGTCATCTTAACACATAACACTAGACTAGGGTGTAGTGTGGTGTTATCATGACACATAACACTACACTAGGGTGTAGTGTGGTGTTATCATGACACATAACACTTCACTAATGTGTAGTGTGGTGTTATCATGACACATAACACTACACTAGGGTGTAGTGTGGTGTTATCATGACACATAACACTAGACTAATGTGTAGTGTGGTGTTATCTTAACACATAACACTAGACTAGGGTGTAGTGTGGTGTTATCATGACACATAACACTACACTAGGGTGTAGTGTGGTGTTATCATAACACATAACACTAGACTAATGTGTAGTGTGGTGTTATCATAACACATAACACTAGACTAGGGTGTAGTGTGGTGTTATCATAACACATAACACTAGACTAGGGTGTAGTGTGGTGTTATCATGACACATAACACTGCACTAGGGCGTAGTGTGGTGTTATAATGACACATAACATTAAACTATGGTGTAGTGTGGTGTTATCATGACACATAACACTAGACTAATGTGTAGTGTGGTGTTATCTTAACACATAACACTAGACTAGGGTGTAGTGTGGTGTTATCATGACACATAACACTACACTAGGGTGTAGTGTGGTGTTATCATAACACATAACACTACACTAGGGTGTAGTGTGGTGTTATCATGACACATAACACTACACTAGGGTGTAGTGTGGTGTTATCATGACACATAACATTACACTAGGGTGTAGTGTGGTGTTATCATGACACATAACATTACACTAGGGTGTAGTGTGGTGTTATCATGACACATAACACTACACTATGGTGTAGTGTGGTGTTATCATGACACATAACACTACACTATGGTGTAGTGTGGTGTAATCATGACACACAACACTACACTAGGGTGTAGTGTGGTGTTATCATGACACATAACACTACAGTAGGGTGTAGTGTGGTGTTATCATGACACATAACAGTACACTAGGGTGTAGTGTGGTGTTATCATAACACATAACACTACACTAGGGTGTAGTGTGGTGTTATCATGACACATAACAATGCACTAGGTTGTAGTGTGGTGTTATCATGACAAATAACATTACACTAGGGTGTAGTGTGGTGTAATCATGACACACAACACTACACTAGGGTGTAGTGTGGTGTTATCATGACACATAACATTACACTAGGGTGTAGTGTGGTGTTATCATGACACATAACATTACACTAGGGTGTAGTGTGGTGTTATCATGACACATAACACTACAGTAGGGTGTAGTGTGGTGTTGACCAGACCACACACTAGAAGATGAAGGGACGACGACGTTTCGGTCGGTCCTGGACCATTATCAACTGGACTGTGAAGAGACGAGGAAGGTAGAGGCATAAGTAAGGCAAGAGAGAGGTGAGGAGGAGGAAATGATAGAGGAAGGTAAGAGCAAGGTGAAAGATTGAGAAGGGATAGGTGTAATAATAGGAGTAAGAATGAGAACGAAAGAAAAAGAGGAGAAAGAAAAAGAAAGAGCTAAAAGAATACGTAGGCACGGTTGTTAGGGCACGGTTGTTAGAAAGTTTAGAGCATTTGAGTATGTACTGTGAAAGGGAAGAGTCAAGAGCAATAGCCATTACTAAGTTTCATGTTGGGCAAGAAGTGTATCAGAGCCGATTCCACTAGACGGCGTCTGTGTAGAGTAGAGGCAGGAAAGTTTACTTTAGAGGAAGACCAGTCAATAGGAAGATTAGAGTCCCCTAACATACAGAAGAAAGCATTGTTTGTGTCTGCAGACTTAACACTTCTATTGTGTTCGTCATGTCCATCATTTAGTTACAACCAGTTTTCCCAAAGTACTGGAGAGGGCACGATGAACAGGAAATAGAGCAGACACCAACACCATTAGTATCAAGAGGAGCAGTGTGAAACAGATTACTACCAAGAGTGTTTTTTTGTTTTGTTGAAAGGCGAGCTTTCTATCAAGAGGACGAAGGGTATTAGTAAGAGTTTTTAGTTCAGATATAAAGGCACACTGAACTAAGGTGTAGTGTTGTGTTTTCACGATACATAACACTGCCCAATGGTATAGTGTTATCATGACACAATTACGCAGCACTTGGGCGTAGTGTATTGTTATCATGATTTATAGCACAATGCTAAAGTGTTGTGTGAAGGAAAAATCACACCTAACAGAGCTCTGCCGCTAAGTGCGATTATCCCTTGGACAACCATGTTACACTGGAGATAAGGCACAGCAGGGAAGGTGCCCAAGCGGTATCTGATATCCTTGAAGATAACTCAACGGCACTTCAATCGATTATCTCCAATATTAATATATATTTATTTTATTCTATCAAAGAATTATGTTCCCAATGTTACATACTGAAATAAAGTTAATAAAGCGCTATTTTCACTTAGCTTTACGCAGTAAAGAGAAAAGTATTGGTATCGCACCGATGATTGAGACCAATTTTTGAAAGTATGTACATGTTTTAAACTTTTTTGAGCTCTAATTAATAGCCTAATATGTTTATTTAATGTTAAATATCTCTATTGTATGTTTTGTTTTAAATTTGCATTGCAATAATACACACACACACATACACACACACACACACATACACACACACACACACACACACACACACACACACACACATACACACACACACACACACACACACACACACATACACACACACACACACACATACACACATACACACATACACACACACACACACACACACACACACACACACACACACACACACACACACACACACACACACACACACACACACACACACACACACACACACACACACACACACACACACACACACACACACACACACACACACACACACACACACACACACACACACACACACACACACACACACACACACACACACACACACACACACACACACACATACATACACACACACACATACACACACATACACACACACACACACACACACACACACACACACACACACACACACACACACACACACACACACACATACATACACACACACACATACACACATACACACATACACACACACACACACACACACACACACACACACACACAGAAGAAAGGGACAGAAGAAAGTGAGCCTCAAAGCGATGTACACAAACATAGATGGAATTACAAATAAAGCAAATGAGCTTGGAGAACTGATACTAGAGGAAAACCCAGACATAATAGCCCTCACAGAAACAAAGATCACGAAAACGATAACAAATGCAGTGTTCCCACAGGACTATTATGTTATGAGGAAAGAGAGGGAAGGAAGAGGTGGGGGTGGTGTAGCTCTGCTGGTAAGACAAGGCTGGGATTTTGAGGAGATGGATATTCAGGGCTGCGAAGGTTTCAGTGACTACATAGCAGGTACTGTAACAAATGGAGGGAAAAAAATTATAGTCGCAGTCATATATAATCCACCACCAAATGACAGAAGACCTAGACAGGAATATGATAGAAACAACATGGCCACCATTAACATAATAGAAAGAGCAGCTTCTTTTGCTAGCAGGAATGGATCTGGACTACTAATTATGGGAGACTTCAACCATGGGAAGATAGATTGGAAGAACAGAGACCCGCATGGAGGACCAGAAACATGGAGAGCTAAGCTGCTGGACGTGGCAACAAGAAACTTTCTAAGCCAGCACACCAAAGAACCAACAAGAATGAGAGGAGAAGATGAACCAGCAATGCTTGATTTGATATTTACCCTAAATGAATGGGATATAAGGGAAGTTAAGATGGAAGCGCCCTTGGGAATGAGTGATCACAGTGTATTGAACTTTGAGTACCTGGTAGAGCTAGGACTTATCTCCCCCCAAA